TATATCTTAAGAGTCAAGATAAACAGAGATCGTTTAGAGAAACACTTATCTTTGTCACAAAACACTTACATAAGCAAAATTCTTGAGTATTTCAACATGAGACTGCAATCCTATGGACACCCCTATAGTCAAAGGTCATAACCTAAGTGAGAAAATGTGCCCTACTAAGGAATCTAAAATTGAACGCATGAAAAGAGTCTTATAATCAAGCATAGTTGGTAATTTGATATATACATTGAAGTGTACTCAACTAAATATTTATTATGTGGTCATATTTGTAAGTTGATTGCAATCCAACCTAGGTGACAAGCACTAGGAAGTTATGAAAAGAATAATGAAATGCTTTAAAGGGACCATAGACTATAAGCTGTTTTTTAAGGTAACAATCTGCATTTAGAAAGGTTGTGTGGGCGCTGACTAGATAGGAGATGTAGTTGATTAACATTCAACTTTGGGATGTGCATTCTTATTGAATAATAAAGCCATCTCCTGGATTAGTAATGAATAGACATGTGTATCTTTGTCCTCTATGGAATTAAAGTACTTAGTGTGCTTTGCCTCGATATAAGAAGCTATATAACTCAAGAGATTCCTAGAAATAAACCATAAGAAAAAGGATCCCATCCTGATACATTATGATTGTCAAGCTACCATAGCTTATACTAAAGACCTTAAGTATCACAGTAGGACTAAATACATAGACATCAAGTATCACTTGGTTAAAGATATGATTGCTAAGAAGTAAGTTATTTTTCAATGCATATTTACTCAAGAGATGGTTCCCTTACTAAACACATAGCCAACGATCCATATGTAGAACATGTGAAGTTTTTAAGTATGTAGGGAGTATGATATATTGAACTCATCTCATTATGCATTCCTTAGTAACATGACTACAATGGTATACAATATTCAAGGTGTCATACAGGTTTAAATGGTTAGTTCTCTCACATAAACAACCACATTCAATACTCATAAGGAGTAAAGGAGATAAGACATATTGTGATCACTGCCTATTCAGAGAGAACAGTGGAATGGTTGAGAAGAATCACATGACAAATGTCACCTCAAACAATGATATCAAGATGAGATCTAGAACTTAAAATTTGAATTAAATCATGGATACCCATGATCCATAGTACTTATAGCCAAGTAAAGAATTCCTCAATGAGGATGTCATGAGTGATTAATGAAATTTTAGTTTACATATTATGTGTATCTAAGATTTAAGCTTGAACGGTATTGACAAATGAAAATCAACATAGGCTCTTTAAAAGAGAAACACTGGAACATGTAATTCATACGGCATGCGCTTATTTGACTACAATAGTGAAAATGGACAGAAATACCTTGTTTTATTACTGTGTGAGTTTGAAAAAGTCCTTTCATAATACCCTTAGAACTTAGACTATGTCATAAGAGGTTGATTTAGTGATAGCTACTTTACCTCATACCCTGTGATTATGAGTGATTCAATCTAACAAGCAGAGTAGTTGAAACGTGACTGAGTCAGACTTGATTGACATATGGTTTGAAAGAAGATTGAACTAAAACGCACAATTGTGCTAGTGTTTAAGGCATTTCCCTTACAAGTTAAGAACCAGTAAGTGCAAGTACTAAGCATATGAGAAAGTAGTCTGGCCTAAATAATTAACTAAATAAGGATTAGATATGCCATAAGTAATGTATATAGGTAAATTTGCGGTGCTTGAGGAAACTTATAACTACAATGTAGGTATACGATAGAATGTCTTTGTGTACTAATCCTGTCATAACATAATGGTAGTCTTATCAAGTGCAAGTGGGAGATGTTACAATTTACAAATTCACCCTTAATAGGAATTGAATCATTAGAGTGATTAGTAGATCTAACATTATTCTAGTAATCATGAGGTTTAATTGAAATTGGGGATTAATGCGAGATTGATTTTTGATTGAATTCCAATTATAGAAATACTCCTCCGTAATAATGGCAATTATTGAAATCAATAATTCCCTCCATTATGAGGCAATTTAATGTTAATTGGGTTTTTTTTTCTACGATGGCCTCCCTTCGCTATAAATATAAGAGAGTAGTTAAAGGAAAAACTTACCCCAGAGCGAACATTTCTCTCTCAATGTTCATGCTTCCCCCTCTTGCTTTTTGCTGCATCTATCGTGCACTTTAGTTTAGACTTTGATAATCTAAACTCATATGACTAGTCAAGTAAATTCTATTATGACCAAATCTAATAAGACTTTGACCTAACTTTATTTTTTTTGTATATTATTTATGTCTAATATTCCTTCAGGTTAAGTATTGTATAGTATATTATTTATTTATTAATAAATTGACAACGCAATGTTAAAAATCTTATGACTTCAACTATACTGACTTGCATAAAATAGGAAGCTCAAGGGTGATCATTTTAACAACAGACATTATACATATTGTCTTGTAATGCCTCTCTGCTTCTTATTATAAAGAAAGTTAAATTTTTCTAGGAGTATTTTATAGTTCACAATTCACATTCTAAGTAGAGGTGAGAAATGGGTGGGCTTGGCCCATAAGAACTCAAGCCCTCAAGCTTGATTTTTAAAAAAAATTATCTAATTTTTAAAGCCTGACCTTTATTTAAAGGACTCGGAGTTAGGCCCATCATGATCATCATCATTCATCATCATCATTTGGATTCTTTAAAGATTAAAAATTTTAATTATAACATTTCATATTTTTTTTAAAACACGAATTATAATATTAGAAAAATAAAATAAATAATAAAAATTAAATTTTAAAGTATAAACATATAATTTAAAGTTTAAATTTAATTTAAAAAATGAAAATATTTTTTTTCATAGTTAAAATGAAAAAGGGCCTAAAAGGACCACTTGAGTCTGAACTCATTTTTTCATGGCCTATCAAGTAGGGTTTCAAAGCTCAATTTTCTTAAAGTGATATTTTTTAAACTCGAATCCTTATAAAAATGAGTTTAAACTAGTGGCCAGTCAAACCCAACCTTTATTCCTAACTCTAGTTATAAGTAAGCTTTATAATGTTTTTTGATGATTGGATATTTTTATTCCTAGATTTGATCCTCTTGTAAAAGTATGTTTTCATTAAAAAAAATTGAGAGGGACAAAAATAAAATGCCAAGCTATTTTAACTTGTTGTTGGGAGTCTAGGAGAGTGGGGTGCTTAGTTTATTCCGTTTGATCAAAAATATAAGCATTTTTCTTCAATTAATTTTGATTTAAAACATAAGTAACCTAATACATGTAATATATATATATATATATATATATAATTTACCCTTTATAGTTTATAATAACCTAAATCTTTGTATAAATTTATCTCACTGAAGTGTATTGATAATTGAGATTAGCAATAAAAGTAAACAATATATACTTTCATGAAAATGATAATTTTATGAGCATGCTTATTATACGTAAAAACGAACCATACTTTGATATGGCAGGAATAAGATTTGGAGGATGCGTCGTTAGAATGGTCTTAAAAAGCGGCGGCGGGTGGGGGGTGGGGGAAGCCTCGAAATAGACTGGTGGCCGCGATAATGTCCCAATAATGGGCAGTTGAACTTCAACACGCTTTTAATTTTATGGCTGACCTTGCCAAGCCACAATGATCAACAAAAGGGCATTTAATAAAGCGCCTCTTCCCCGACACCGTGCTCATTCTCATTGACCTTTCATTGGGTAGACCAAACTCAACATCGTCCATGTCCCGCCGCTCTACTATTTTTATTTTTCATCCCAATTACTTGCCGGATAGTTTATTTTAATTAATGGATAATTATATTTTTACATTAATTATTTTTTATGTTACTATCAACTAAACAACAAACAAAATAAGTAGTGAGTGACTTAAAAAAATATTTAAATATAAATTACGTTACGGTCATAAACTTTTCTTTAATTAAATTTACTAACATCAATAATAATTTTTTTAATCTAAACACACACTTAAATTATTCCTCCAACCAGGGTCCTCCATCAAGAGATTATAGAAGCCAGGTGCAGCATCTACTGCTCTTTTAGGCTTTTAGCCAGCAAGTCTGCCTCCTTGTTCAAACCCCGTGAATTGTAATGGAATCTCGCGTTGCAAAACCTCACGTAATTTCAAAACCATCCCTTATTTTTCTTCTTGATTATTACTATTTCTCTTTCTTGTTAAATAAAGTATATTTTTAAAAGTTTATATTTTTCTGAGAAATTAAGATTCTAAATTGCATTGAATTTTTCACCAAAAAAATTGTATTTAATTAATGTTATTGATATTCACTGTTTTACTCAACAAATTTATAAAATGGGGCGGAGGAAGTATTTATTTGTTATTGCTAATACCAGTCCCCAAAAAAAATGAAGTGCCTATCATTATTTAAAAATTTAAATTAGTTAAAATAGTCCCCCAACAACTTGCATGCATCTCCTCACATGAGAAACTGAAATACAAAACAAGTTGAAATTTATAACTAAAAATTGGATTGGATGCTTGGTGGAGTTGAAGACTCCCTTCGTTCAAAAACTGCTGTGGTTTAAGGTTTTTCCTTCCATAAAACCAAAAAAAAGAAGAAGAAGAGAAATATCAATATTTAAGAAGAAAAATAGGTAAGGGATGATTTTATAATAAAGTGCATTAATAAATCATTATTTTTTAAAAAATATGCTACTTATAAAATAGAACATCAAATCCATTAAAAAATATCAAATAAAATAAGAGGGAGGAAGTAACAAAAGTAATAATTGACCATCCAGAATTAAAAAAAGAAAGGTAGAAATTAACAAGTGGGAAAATTCAGGTAGAATGATGCGGAAAGGAGGAGCATGGTTGGGCTTGGGCTTTGACGTTGATGGGTGTAAAAGTCAAACAACATTAAAAAGTAGGGAGGAATGGTACTCCGGCGGAAATTAATAAGGAAACGCGGCTTCTAGAATGAATGCGGAACGGGATGCCAATTTGAAGTTCAAACTCGCCTAGAGTACTATATATGCACCAAGGCAGCATCATGATGGCATCTCACAGCACACAAGAATATAGGGTCCAAAATGGCCAAGCTGAGCGTTGCACTGGCGGCTGCTGCGGCGGCCATATTAGTTGCGGCGGTGAGTGGTCAGTCCGTCGCCGACATCGTCACGCCCGAGTTCTTCAATGCCATCATTGGCGAGGCCGATGCCAGCTGTGCCGGCAAGAACTTCTACACCCGAGCCTCCTTCCTCGACGCTCTCAACTCCTATTCTCAATTTGGCAACCTGGCTTCCGCCGACGACTCCAAACGTGAGATCGCCGCCGCTTTTGCCCACTTCACCCACGAGACCGGCCATTTTTGCTACATAGAAGAGATAGACGGCGCGATCAAGGATTATTGCGACGAGACCAACACGCAATACCCGTGCGCCCCCAACAAAGGATACTACGGTCGCGGGCCTATTCAGCTATCGTGGAACTTCAACTACGGGCCCGCCGGCGAGAGCAACGGGTTCGACGGGCTCAACGCTCCGGAAACGGTGGCCAACAATGCGGTGGTGTCATTCAAGACGGCTCTCTGGTACTGGATGCAACACGTTCGCCCCGTGGTGAGCCAAGGGTTCGGAGCCACCATCAGAGCCATCAACGGCCGCCTCGAATGTGACGGAGCCAACCCCACGACCGTCCAGGCTCGTGTTAATTACTACACCCAGTACTGCTCCCAGCTGGGTGTTGCTCCCGGTGATAATCTTACTTGCTAGATTTATTTATATACACTCCTACGTCAACCTACTCTATCATCCATCCCCTGCTTCATTTTAATTTGTTACCCTCATCAGCTTCAATAATAGCTTCTAATATTGCAGCCTTTCCTTCCTTGTATTTTGGCATTTTCTTTTCTCATTTCTCTTTTTTACTTTGACTCCTGCATCCCCGATTAATAGCGACCAAATATTCTACCTTAGTGGGTGGTGACATTGGATTAGCGTTGAGTAAAATTGATTGATGTAATTATAAGCATTATTTTAGATAAAATTGATGTAATTAAGACGCAAAAAGTCAGAGTTGCTTTTCATATAACATGATTTAGGAGGTCAAATGTGGGTTTTAATTGATGAAGGTGCTCGGATAACCTTTTTTGAAAATTACATTTAAGGGCTCAAACGTGGGTTTTAAAAATGGTGCTTCAATAGGTTTTTTTTTTCAAAAAAAAAAAAAACCAAAACAAAAGCACGTTTCGAGTTTCCAAATTGTTTTGCAATTTTTGGGTGGCGCTAGGAGGAATTCAAGAGATGAAAATTCCAGTCACTGATACACACGTGAATTGATCGCACATGCACGAGCTGCGAGGATGAAACTCAATACGTTACTACACACGCGCGTATGTAGGATAATGACGGCACATGCATCATGCATGCGAGACAGTGAGAGCATACAAGAGGATATTTAGAGCCCAAAATGGGGAAGCAGAGGTTTGTAGTGGTGTGTGGTTGTGCAACGGGATTATTTACATTATGGAGTTGGAGATGACTACTGCTGCGACGCTGGCTGCCAGGAGAGGCTTTAATCGCGTCAGGCACAAGAGTCCAAAGACGCCTACAACTTAAAGGCTTTACGCAGCCAACATGTTCACTCGGAAAGGTCCTTCGGAGTTCGGATAACACACATAATTGCCAGCTCCTCCCGCCAACTCAGAGACAGCCATATTGGAAGCGTTTAAATCGAAAAGCATAAACCCAATTTCCATGTTACAAGTGTTCATTCCAGCTCGCTTTCTGACAAATTTTGGAGATGGCCGCTAACCACTCCAAACCCGACAGAAGATCCAAAACAACTCATGGAAACACTTGCCAACATCTTACATGAAAACAACCGCAGCGTGCGTGTCGCTCGGCTCAGTTGGACGGATGGGGGACTTGATTCGGATTGTAAACAGGGTTTGGGCTCAACAAAGGGATTGGCCCAAATTAGTTGAACGTTGCCCTAATAGAATTTAAAAAAAGAAAACTGAAAAAAAAAAAAGAAAAACTAAAACGGAATGCCATCGTCCTCTGTTTTTGCGTCGACCTGGAGGAAAAGCCGAAACCAAACAGGGGAGAAGCAGAGAAACAACATTAAAACATACCAATGAAATTTTAACTGTTCAAATTTTACGTTTTAAATTTAAAGGTTTTTTTTATTTTTTATTAAAATAAAAATTATAAAAATGTTAACAAATTTATTTTATTACCAATCTTGAATGATATAAGTTTAATTTAAACAGTTCAATTTAATATTACAAATTTTTAGAAATTGATTATTCAAAAATACTTTAGATCATTTGAATTTAAAATTTTTAACTCATTGACTTTTTTCTAAAAAAATATTTTTTAAATGTCAATTTGGATATTACATTCAATTTTAATGTTATCTGTACTAAAATAAAAATTTTAAAAAATTTTAATATTTAATTGGACCATTTAAATCAAATTTATATTATGCAAATTGATGAAAAAGTAAATTCATTAAAAAAATTTAATTTAATTTTACTAAATATAAATAAAATAAAAAACTTTTAAATTTGGGTTGTATAAAATAAAATCTAGACAATCTAAATTTCATCGGTTTGATGAGCAACAGGCTAATGAACACTAAAACTGGTTTCACAAATTGAGAGAGGTTGTTCCTTCCTCTTTCATTCTTTGATATAAGACAAAATTTAAATGTTTTGAAATTCTAAATATAAGATGAAATTATAAGAATCAATGCTTTTTTTAAAAAAAAATTATGCCTTTCTTATTTATTATCATTTGGATTTCTAAACAATAATTCATTATGATTACTAATAATAAAGAATGGTAAAATTGAAAAGTTACAACTAACATTTCTTAATAATCACAAAGTTTATTACCATTTATAAGAATTAAAATTAGCTACCAGTTCCCGGTAAGAAAACCATTAGTTCGGATTAAAACCATGCATGTAAATATAGTTTTGTCTCTAATGTTATAAAAAATCCATTTCCAAACATAGGCGAAGATCAACTGATTATATATACTTGTTGACTTGTTGTAAAGGTACACCATAAGTTAAACAATTTAGTATGCAGAGACGGTTAATTAATGTGAAAGATCATGTCTCATTAATCCCGATGATCTTGGGTTAGTTAATTTTGCACATAAGGATAGGCTGGTTATTCTATAAATGTCATCAATTAATATTTAATTTAATCCGTAAATAATGTGAGGAGAAAAAAAAAAGGACGTGATGATGATATATGCATGTTTGTTGGACCTGCCTTGAGCTTGATGGAGGAATGATAAATGGAAAAGTAATAATAAAAAGAAAATGAAGGAGAGACAGGACCGGGAAGGAACACAAATAAAAGAATCTTATTTGAATGCAGATACAGAGGGAAGAAAAGGGAAGGAATGAGGGGGATCAGTGGCCGGGGCCTTTGGGACTGGGCCCGGAGGCGAGACGCATGAGCCAAAGGCCGAGGCTGGTCCTGGCGTCTTCGTAGGCCGAAGCGTATGCCGGGAGATGACTGCCTGGCCTTAGAACTCGGCTTCCCTCTGCACTCACAATCACAATGCCCATCCACATAAGCATCGTCATCAGCACGGCGCAAACTTTTGTGAAGCTCATGTTGCTCTCAACTAAGTGGGCTCGTGGTGGCGAGCAACCGATGGTGTTGTATTTATAGCGGCGTTGAAGAGCTTGCGTGTTGACCGAGCCCTCTGCTTGCTGGGGAAGCTGCCCTGCAACGCCCCCACGGCTTCGCCCTCGTTGCCGGGTGAACTCGGTATTGAATTTGTCAACGCCCATCTCTTTTACCATTGTGTCCTCCTCCTCATGCTGCTTAGTGCTTACAGAGTTTGAGTTTCCTTGAATTCACACTCCCTTGTTCTTGTATTTGAATTTGAATGGACTTTGCCGCACGTGTTTGAGGCACTCACCGCTTCTACCTACCTCCTCCCCCTTTTTCTAATCCCGCGATGCTCCTTTTGTGTTCTCGCCACTCCACTAGGACCCACTACCTTCACTTATTCTCTCTCAAAATTTAATCCGCTGAATTCATTAGTCAGTTTGTGGAAAATAAGGGAGGCGCAGAACCCCCGCACCAAAATTTAAAAAAAAAAAAAATAGGCGGCTTATATCAACATCTTGCATGGCCTTCTTTCGTTTTTTATATATATATATATATGAAGATTAAATAACGAGCTCTACTATTTGATATTGACATTGATTCAATTATAATAAATTTAACTACAAATTAAAATAAACTTTTGGAGGCATTGACAAAAGAAAATAGATCAAAATGATATGCTAGTTTTTTTCTTTGCGAGTAAATGGTTTAGAATGCTAGAATTTAATATGGTTATTTGTTACACTACAACTCTACTGCTGACCATTTCCTTGCATAAAAAATGTTTAGAAAATGGAGACAAGTGTAGAAAGACGTAATTGGCATTGACCGGGAGAGTTTTTGCAAAATTTGGACAAGGAATTTGACCCTCACCAATACCACCAGCAGTCAGCAAAGGGTGGGTCGCGCCTTGTGGAGGTAGAGGTGGGAAAATTCAATCTCAGTGCTTATTACTGACTCGGTCGCTAAACTACAACTACTTTATCTTGTTTTTCTAATTAAAAAAAAAAATCGGAATCGTGTCCGAAGCTTTAATTGATGAGAAATAATTCATCATAAAATGTATAAATTAATTGCAATTCAAGACCTATCAATTCATTCGTTAAGTAAACTTTATTTAAAATTTGAAAGCATTTTTACATTCCTCATTAAAAGTAGCCGGAACCCTTGTGAATACTAGAATATCGAACACGCTCATGCAGTCAAAGCCAAGCTTATGTGGCCATGATACTAGCTACCACTTCAAAACAATCCTTGCGGGGGAGGAAAAATCCTCAGTTTTAGAAAACCGATAGAATTGTAAGGTCTGAGAATATGCTACTCCGTTTATCCATTTCATCCTAAACCAAGGCTACGGGTCGGACGTCGTAACGCAAATTAGGCTTACAATTATATCGCACTGATGGCGTTTCAATGTCACATGAGCTCCATTAATTTTTAGCCACTAGTTATACAATATTGCTTGATCGGCTTTGAGCTGTACAGTGTTGATCCGTGACAAAAAGACAATCGATGCCTGGGCCAAATTTTAAGAAACGCAGTGTTCAAGCTTCAGAAATCCTTTGCCTTTTGCCTTAGTTGATCAAGTTCCCTCTCAATCTCAGCATCTCGAAATGGGATTCCAGTGTTTGTGCTGCTACTGCCACTTCTTCCGGGGGGAAGCTCTCCTTTCTGCTCCAAACAAATATGAAATGAGTAGAGGCAACATCAAAAGGACATTTAGGATGTCCGACAATAAACACTATGACAATGTCTCTCCCCCCAGTTTTTTTTTTTTTTTAAACAGAGAATCCAGATTGTATTCCTGGACTAGGTTTACAAGCTAGTTTTTGAAGCGTACCTTTGAGCTACCAGATAGTTCTTTCTTCAAATTTGCAAGATCATCGTCAACTGATGAGCTCTCTAATAATGCAAACTGCACAAAATCAACAATTGGTGAGCACAAAAGAAAGAAACCCATAAATTCCATAAAGCATTTTCAGCCTTGGCAACTCTAAATTGACCTATTGTCATCCACACGATAATTGATGACGTGATATACTCCAGGAAAGACGATGGAAAAGATCCAGCTAAGGACAAAGGGTTCACATAGCCACCAATTTATATTTTGGGAATAAGCTTATTCTTGTGACTTTTATTATACAAAGCCAAATGAATTCATATTTCCTAATGTTTCGTTTAAATGTATGTGGATTTAAATTTGAACCAAATTCATTATTTGAGTAATTAAAAAAATGTGAACTTGGATTTGGGTCAAATCCAAATCCAAATCTTACCTCAATCCTTTTATAATTTTAAATCTTTTTTAAATCCCTATTATTTCAAATTTTAATGAAAGCTTCTCCCTTCTTTCATATTCGTTTGTCAACTTCACTACCTTCTCGATTTCAACATCACTGCCTCCAGCAAACATTGATCAAGACTGCAGGCAACAACGAGGATCGGACCGTCGACATTGACCGGGACCTGACAGCCGACGTTGAGAGGGACTAAACCGCTAGCACCAGCTGAGATCAGATGGCCAACTTTGACTTGGATCGCACGAACAGCACCAACCAGGACCAGACCACCGGCACTTTAACTGGGACTAGATCATCGACTATGACAGAGATCGAATAGTAGGTGCTAACTGGGACCAGACAGTTGACTTTGACTAGGATTGGATGGCCAGTGTCGAACAAGACCAGACTACCGATGATGACCAGGACGGAACCACTGATGACGACAACCAAAACCAGATCGCCAACTTTGATCGAGACTGGAAGGCCAAGGCGAACTAGGACTAGACGACCGACGTTGACCAGGACCAAACGACTAACACCTACCAGGAGCAAACAGCTGACTTTGACTGGGATTGGACTGTCAATGCTAACTGGGACCAAACCACTGGCAACAACCAGGATAGGATCACCAGCCATGATTGGCACTGAACCACCGACATTGACCGAGAGCACCCTCCTCGGCCACCCGATGCCAATTTGCTATTGTTGTCATTCAATGCTGGTCCAGTGTTGTCATCCGATGCCAATCCTCTACCACCATCCTGTTCTGGTCCATAGCATCCAACTTGTGTCAATTCGCTGTCATAGTCCAAGACCGGTCTGTGAACATCGTCTTCAATTAGTTCACTTTCATTGTTCGATGCCAAACGTTGTTGTTAACAAGGAATGCTCTGGTGTCATCCAGGTCCAATTCGCAGCCCTTAAGCTACTGTAATCAACCTATGCCAATTCTTAGGCATTGTTTGAGATGGGAGCACTAATGTCAACCAGGACCAAACTGCCGTTGCCGATTGAGATTGGACCACTAACGTCATTCGGGTTTGGATGGCCGGGGTCCACCGAGACTAGGAATCCACCCCTAATCAAGACAAGACTGCCAACATCTTCCGAGCTGCCTTTAAATTCAAACATAAAATTTGAAATTTGAAATTTAATTTAAGATTCAAACAAAGTACTTTAATATTATAATTTGAAATTTTTATATTATCCAAGCAAAGAATTTAAAATCTACGAATTTCAAATGTGAGATTTCAAATCCAAATTCTCAACCCAAATTCACCCATCCAAACAAAACCTAAAGGTGAGAGAATAGCATGAAGTTACTGCCTCATGATCGCCCGAGTTCAAACGTTCATTCCATCCTGAATAGCTCCTCAAGAAAGGTGTAGTGATCTTCTAAATTCCATTTCAAGTTTTCCATAACATTGACCACCTACCACCATCACATTCCTACCCATCACCAATAGGCCTGTCAGCATTACATTGGTCTGCCAGGCTCTAGATAATATATGACATTGGTCTGCCAGGCTCTAGTTGACATAAACTGGATGCTTGCAGTGTTGGCTGGCAGAGTGCAACTACCACAGAAAGTTGTATTTGACATCTCATTTTGTTGCATTTTAACAAGATTCAGGATCCCACGAGCATATGCAGTGGTGGTGCATTACCCAGAAAAAATTGCAATGGTGATAAATATCACATCACAATATTTTAATTTTCTATCAACTTAGCATGTTATTTTCTCACCAAAGAAAAGAAGCACAAGTTCTCTTTTCTTTTATGCTGTTTCTTTCTCGAGGTCAACAAATCGTTCCAATATTAAAATGGAAGTTTTCATAATATATGACATTCACTACCTTTCCTTCAAGATCATCAGTTGTCAACTGGCCAAGAGCTTCAGCTTCTGATTCCATTGCTAACACTATCAAGATAACCACGAACAACATATGTGAGAAACTAAAAAAAAAAAAAATTCAAATGCTATGATGCAAAGTTTGAGCCGTCAAGTGAAGGTCCAGAATTAGTTTTTATGAATTATTCTTTTTATTTGGGCATACACATATTGTAGGCACATTATAGGCCAAAGTTTTTCTTGTTACTAAAGTGTTTTTATTTTTTTCATTTCTTGGCAGAATCGTTGTCAGAGTTTCACTTATACTACAATTACACCTGATTACATATTTAATAACGTCCAAGCATAACGTCATAATGTCCATAAATTATGAGATACAAATTCAAGCCTCAGAATACCTCTTGAATATACTACATAGCCTTTGTCAAGAGTTTTTTTTTCCCCTTTTAAAGCTTTAAACCATTTGAAATTTCTAGATGCCATCCCCTCCCACCCAACCAAGGTGCAAGGCAGGTTATAAGTATTATCCATGTATCACAATTCCCAATAGCCAAAAAGTAATTCAGATTAAAATTTTCTTACCTTTTTCTTCCATCTTTTCGAAAGCTGAAAGAGCACTACTTGTATTGACATTTCCCAGCATCTCATTCACTTTGGTTGCCGTCCTAAAGGAACATCAACCGACAACCATGATTAGAAGAGCCAGAGTTCAAAGAAATCAAGGGATGCAAGGATGTCAATGGAAAATGGTGCCAAAGACAAACTTTGCAGATTGAGCTCTGGCTTTCAGAGTATCCTTCTTAGACCTGGCCTCCTGAATCTTACTCTCCAAAAGCTACAGAATATAAAATTTATAGAACACAGCATCAATGAATAAATATGTATCACTAATTATAAATAAAAATATAAAAGATTGCATTGCAATATTCAGCTCATAGTGCATAGATAGATTGTTTAACCAACTCCAATCATTCCCAGAAAAGTGCACACTTGCATTGGTTGCAGACTACTTTTGATCTCAATTTTAGATGGTGATATTCGATTATACATATTGGCTTTACAAGTCCCTCCGTACAATTTAGCTCACCCGTGTATTAGAGACAAGGTTCTCAACAACACCCTTTTGTTGATCAAGTTGAACTTTCAAAGCATTGGCATTATCCTGCAACATTTTACAGGCAGAGATCAAGTATCAAACTTTTACCTTCAGATAGTCTATCATGCAATGCATGAGAAGTTATACATATACCTTATAACTATTGCAGCTACGGTTTCCTGAATCGGTAAATTAAATGGTCAAATTACAGAAAATTCCAATCTTTCATTAATCATCAACAGTGCAGCACTATCATCAGCATTCATTCATAAGCAATGTCTGACATAAATTGAACCGTCAATTTGAAGAAGTTTGCAGAAGCTAAGAATTGTCAGATTTATCACCCTATCTGATGATCTGAACTAACTTCAGCTTCTTCAAACAATAATGACCAAGGGAAATGCATAGCCAAAGGCAATCAAAATGGTCAGATAAATCATAAATCTACATATTTGGTTACGAATGCAAAATCACTTGGGAACAGGGGGTAGAGTTTTCATTAAACTTTTGAAGACTTTTACAGAAATGGGAACTATGGCAAGTGCATTGATCAAATATTTCATTAATTATTAGCAAAGAAGGGAGAACAAAGAGTTCTTATATGCAGGAATCAAGTGAAAGAAAGGATCAAGAAGTCAAGAACCAAGAACTACATCTGATTGATTAAAAAGCCACAAAATTAAAGGGCCCGCTTTATGACCTAAAGTTTGGAAATCCAGAAGCATATTAGAGCAAGAGCATTCAAGAAAATGAGAACATACTGCATAAGATTTCCGCCTTTTCAAAGCTTCACGAGCAAGATCTTCATCACCTTTCTGAAGAGCAAGTTGTGCTTTACGGTACCTATATCAGTGCATTGCATAAAACTGGTATCTATACAGTAAACAATGTAAGAAAACTAAAATAACTGCTTTTTCATAATTACCACTCTTCAGAAGCTTGTTGTGCGGCTTTGTATTTATTTTCCAGCCGTTTTTGAGATGCCAATACCTTATGAAGAAGAAGAATTCAGAGTGAAAAGAAAATTTGGGAAGGGAGTTAAACCTTTTTTTTTTTTTTGGAGGGAGGGTGGTTGGTAGAGAGATACAGCATAGATTGGGAAATTTTCAAGCTTGTAGCCTTGGAAGGCTACTCCCCAGAAATCTATACCTCAAGGTCAACATGCAGAACAAAGTAGCTTTCAATAACTCATGAATAACCATGGAAAGAAAACAACATAGATTAAAATATTAAAAAGAAAAGGTCCAAACTCCCAAATCAAACAATAAAAAAATTAACCTGTGCTGTAGCTTGACGCATTTTTGTCAAGTCATCATTCATTTCAAGAACTGCCTGCTCCAATATTTTCTCTGGATCTTCAAAAGTGCTAATGATTGCATTTGCATATGACTGCATTATTAAGTTAAACAATAATGAGAATGTCAGCTTAAACTACATATAGAAAACTCTTTCTGTGATTTCACCTTCACAACTCTGGCAAATCTATCAAAGAGGTTCATTTTAGTGCCAAGAGCACCTCCACCTTGTCTAGAATAAGATTGGCTGGGGCCAGCAATCCTTATCCCTTTAACTTTCAGAAATTCAACTGCAAGCATTAATTAAAGAAATTTTAACTCAGGACAGAAGTTGGATATACAAAAGGAGAGACAGGAAGATATAATGTTGTTGGCTTCTTTACTACTACTACAGCAACGGCAACGGCAACAAGTCTTATCCTACTAACTGAGCTCAGCTACATGGATAACATGACACTATTGAATTCTATCAATAACTAACTCTTCAGATATATTATTTACTAAGAATTCCCAAGTATCAAGTGCCTTCTTTGTGTATAAAAAAACCAACGGTTCCCCCCCCTTTTCTTAACTTAACATCAACAGCAACATACTTGCATCTACAAGTCACAATATCCATTTGAAGAAAATTGCTAGGAGATATAATTTAAAAATAAGGGCGCGTGACATCAGGAAACACTCAATCGCTTGAGACCCTGAGGTTTAACAAGTTTGTGCGATTGCGATCAGTAGTGCATGAAAATTTGAAGTCTAAGTCCTCCCAACCCCACACTCCCACCCAGAAAAACAAGTCTCATCAACTATAGAAATAAAGTGCTTATTATTGCATTGTTGTCTCAAATAAGGGAGATCCATTCCTAACTGCTGGCTAGGTAATAAATATTTCACACTAGAATTATTGATGCCCTTCTTTCATATTTCATAATATTGCTACATACTTTCGCTCGCTCAAACATTATTTAACATTCATAATTATGAAAGTATTTGAAAAGGGACAGTAATGCATAATGAAACAAAATTCACGCAGTTGAATTGCGGCAATATTTTAAAGTAAAATTTAATAATCGATCATACATCGGCTCCAACACAAGAAGCAGAAACGGTATATACAATTAAAGGGAGTCAACAGAAGCTCATGATGCTCACATTGCCGGGGAAGCTTATGATAAGAGCAGGTATGCCAGTGAATTGGGACCATATCGATGAACAAAAAATATTAGCAAGACAAAATTGAAAGCGCCACTGTACATAGCGAGTTTTAGTTAAGCAAATACTCTAGCCCAGGAATGCACCTCAAAGACAAAGATTAAGGCGTAAAAGAATATCTAGACTAGGCCATGCCTCTGGCACCGAAGAACGACGTGGTCAGAGGTTTCCCGAGCATGTAAAGACTATCGGAGCTTGAAGAACAAACTTGAAATAACGACGTAGGAGGTGTTGATGCCAGTGGTACTCCAGTAAACATCTGCAGCTTCGTTGCCATTTCTGATAGAAATCAGCTCAAAATACGCAGAATTTGAAAATAAAAAGCAATTTTTGCAGATAGGATTGGAAAGTTTCGGAAATCTGGGATCAGCGCTTCCGATGTGCGATATCTATTCCATACGCTCGGAATGGGCCGGACTAGCCTCTCTTGCGTTCAGAAATCCAACTCCGTTTATGTCAGCGTACAATTAGCAAGTCTCATATTATCATGGGGGCTATTTTGTTTATCCTTAAAAAAAAAATAAGTAATTTTTATATCGTTTAAAATGTTTATGAAAGTGATTTATAATTTATTTTTAGATATTGAAAGATTTTTTACGTTTTTTATAATCATAAAAATAATTTGTTATTTACTAACTTTCAGTTTTTTATGATATTCTCATATTTATGTTGACATTCTCCCATTTACAGGCTACAGCATCTAATCTAATCTTCTTATCCAATCTAATTATCTTTAAAATTCTTGAGATGAAAATTTTAATTTATTTTAGATTTTGATTATTTTTAAAAGGTTTGACAAATATTATAAAATTGTTAAAAAAATTAAAAGTAACAATTTTTTTATCGGAAAATTTTTAAAACGGATGCTAAATTTGATGAAAAATAATAGAATTCAAAAGAACTGATAGAAAAACTCAAAACCAGGAGTATAATATAAGCCAAATGCGTGGAATAAAAATGTGAAAATACTAGTCGTAAATTATGGTTTTCTACGGAGTCATTAGATGCGCGAATGAGCTTTTAATTTTTAACTTTCTATCAATTTTTATTTAATTTCTAATTTTTAAATTTAAACTTTATTCTTTAATTTTACTTTTTTGTAAAGTGAATTGTTTGCACTGTGCCTTATACGCGGTAAATTTTCACCTTCGCCCTTGCCATTTTTAAAACTAACGTTGGTCCCAAGTGCTACGTGCTCCACTTCCTTGCTTTTTTTTTTTTTCATGAGTTAAGAGTTAAAAATATCCTTGAAGAATATATAAAGGGTCATAAATAACCCTAAACTTAACTATAAGTCATTTATATCCTTCAACTTTAAAAAAATTATTGTTGTTATCCTAATGTTTAGTCAATATATGTTGATCGTTTGTCTGTCCATGGGGCCTAGGATTTACATATTTGGCAAGCCATGTACACTGGATCAATGGCTAAGTAGGTAGATGTGTTGGTTTCAATGGGTTACGTGGTATTTTGTCTGGAAAAAGAAGAAAAAAGAAATGAGGAGTATCGAGAGGCATTTAAGTTGAAGAATCAATAAAGTAACTTGGGGACCAACTTCCATGTTTCTCCATTTGAGACCAAGTATGAGGTACTTTCAATGAGTACAATCGCAAAAGCAAGTTAGGTGAGTGATTCCATAGGTTCTTTATCAGGTATTAGTTGAATAAGGAGGGTCTCATTCAGAAGTCAAGGATCTGGAGATGTGGACTACCCACCTTCATTGAGGTACTATTTCTATGGAGAAATTGCGCCAAAGTGAACATTATGGAATGAGAACAACCTTAGAAAAAAGTTTTTTGGGTGTAAAAACTACAGCCAAGTATACCTTGGCATTAATCTCCCTTAATATGAATTTGTGTGGTTTAGGCATTGAGTGTCGAGTATAAATATTAGAGTGGTGCTATTTTTTCTCATAGTTGGACGATGAAATGAGGGAAAGGCCAAAGCAGATTATTCTCGAGCTTTTAGGTCATATTGAGAGGTTGACTAAAGAAAATAAAAAGCTTGGATGAAGAGAAAAGAAAGAAGAAATTAATGGCATTACATGTAAGTTGGATGAGACAAAGAGGAAGCTAAAAATGACAATAGGAGCTTTAATATTGTCTTGGGTCTTCCTTGGGTGTATTTAGTTGTTCCTTTGTTTATAAGAATGTAATATATTTTTGTAATGATCATGTAGACCCTTTATGCTTCTATTTCAAACCATTGAAGATTAGACTAATTAAGACCATTGAATTTTTGAAATTTTGTAAGAAGATGGCATATATGAAGAATTGGTCATAAGGACACTTTATGCTTATGTTCCTTTGTAAGAAGAGTTGTGTTCTTATGCATTTATGAAGATGGCATATCTAACTCCATTTCTCTATACTATATGTACATACCCATACATATCTAGCTAAGATGATAAAGAATGAAATAAAGAAGAATGAAGATGAAGTGAAGCAACTCAAGATAGAACAGTGAACAGCTAAAGTGAACTTCAATAAATTGCTATCAAAATAGAATAAGGAAATAAAGAAGCCTTTGAATGTTGGCCAAAAAGACAATAACATTAATCAATATTGTTATGAAGTTACAACATACTCAAATCTGTAATGAGAACATAGCTAAATCGCTTCACCATCTTAAATGATGGCTCCATATAAAGTTAAAGCAGCTAAACAAGGCCATAGCTAAATCACAACTAGTATACAAAACACAAATGATGGCTCTACACAAAATACAAAAGAATGGTGCTAAAAGTAAAGTTTTTCATATACAAAATGCCTGTATACAAACCATACAAAAGGCAAGCCTAACACATTAAATGACAGTCTCTTTTCCCTTTGATCTCTACTGTCCAACTATCCTTTGCCTTTGACTTTTAAAGTGGGAGTCACTAACACTAAGATTCCCCTGCCATCTTAGACCAGGTAGTTTGAATGGGAGGTTTAAGGGTTGGCTAACATTTCTATCTAAACCTCTTGATACAATCCTCCTAATTAGTACAATGGCCACTATTTGCTTCTCTCTTCATAACTGACTCTCATTTAGGATTGGAAACCTCATTTTTAGATCTGTGTTTTGATGCATATACTCCTCAATTGTGTCCTCTTAAAGTGCCACCTTAGACAGCATTTCTAGCTACATATGTAAAGTGTATAGAACTTGAGGAAATTTCAGTCAATTACTATAAATCTATAAATTAAACTTACATTGTAAACTTCCTTCTTGTGACTTCATCAGCTCAAATCTCCATGCCAACCTCAATCCTTGGTTGATAAATTACCATACTTTGAAGTGTCCTGACTGGTACATTAGTGCCAATTGTAGGAGTGGATGATGGGGGAGGACTGTGGTTGATAGATCGTTAAGTACCTTAGCTGCTCTTAGTTTGCTCTTGCTAGGAGAATGTATGAGTAGGTTGTAGGGGAGGTGTCAACATATCCTGGCTAACAGATTCCTTAGCCTTTTTTTGGTCATGGGTCCTTACTAAGAGAAGGTCTTTGCACATTATACACATAAATGGTAAAGTAAAAATAAACCACACAAAAATGAAGGTATATTGTGTAAAAGACAAGTGTCATTACTGATCTATTTATAATATGACTTGTTTGACCTAGCTTGTGACAATAACTATAGGTCATTTTGGCATCCTTCGTATTGATTTTCTCTACTTGACGTGTAGGCATGTTAGCACTTGCATAACCCTAGATAACATGCTGTGAATTACCTCTTTTCCTTCTCCTTGTACATTCATCAGTCCTATACCTCTTCTTCTTTAATGTCCCTGGGGAGGCTTTAATTGGTGGTGGCTCTATAGGTTTGAATTGTTGTAGCTTCTTGAATTTATGACCACTTACAAGTTGGAATGTAACTTTATTACTATGCATTTGTGCTTATTTATAGTAGTGGTGGGATATTTGGGAATGTGGCACTATTTTAGCATGATTCATTGCACATATGGCATGGTGGCATAAGATTCCAGTTAAATCACATGCCTTACAAGTGCATGCCTTCATGTTAAGAACACAATATGCCTATCTTGCCCCTCAGTCACCTCAAACCCTTTATCCTTACTAAAAAACACTTGGCACTTACATGTCAATCCTCTATTAGTTTCAAACAACTTTTCATACTTTAGATTGTAATTAAAAGTTTAACTTTTTAAAATCTTACCGCTATCTGCTCACTTGATCATCATTTTAATCATAATACCCTCAAACATCCTAATTACAGGTAGGTATCTAAATTCCTCAATCTAGGCATTCAAGCTCTCGCAAGCATTATTGTCAATTACCCAAGTTATACTCCTAGTTGTGAAGTAGGCTCTTACTCAAGATAGTGAAGGATATGATACCAAATCCTCTGTTACTGCCTTGCTTAGTGCTCCAACAGCCTCTAGGTTGTCCTTAAACATCATTTACTCTAGTTATCATATATGTGTCTTACACATAATCTATGCTCGGCTATAGGAAAGACCTCTTTTATAGCCAAGTGGAGTCCTTGTGGATAAAAGAACTCAATAAGTCAATATAGTGTAATCATAGTAGGTCAAAAAAATTTACTTAGTTACCTTCTGCATATCGAACATCAAAGTGACAAATGAGCCATTGTCTAATTTAAGGGAGGTCTGAAGCTACTATAGAAGCCATTTCTAATTGTAGGTATTCTCCTTCTGGGTCAGAATGAAATCAATGGGGTAGAAGGAATCATTAGCATCTAAAGTACAAGCAGTCAGTAGAATGTCTCTTGCTTTTCCCTTCAGAAAAGTGCCATACACCCTTCTCTCCAACCAACCTACCAAAGTTCACATGAAGTAAGCTTTTGTAACTTAGTTTTAATATAGAAAGATATTTTAAACACAGTAGGTCTAGGTCTATACCTTTGATGCATTGAAGCATACATGCATACAAGACCTTCCTTCCTTGCTCTGCATCTTCTTTGCTCAATTCCAAGCTTATGTCAGATCCATGATTTAAATCCCTCAATTCATAACAACATGCTTTAAGCTTAAAAAATTCATCCTTATATCTCTCTTCTAGTTCTTTCATTATCCTCCTTTTAACCCTTTTACACTTCTGCATACTCACACTCAACTTGAACTCATGCTCCAGATCTTTCTTCATGTCAAAAATCCTATACTGTGACCTTTCTTGGACTTTATCTTTAAAGTGCTTTATGATTTAGTTAATTGAGGCTCTAAGGTTCTTAAAGACCCTTATACATCTGTCTTCCATATAAAAGGTCTTAATCTTCAGTACAGGTGAGTTTCAATCTACAGAAGTAAAGAGTAAGAATGGGCATCCTTTTGAATATTTGGCCCTAATCCTTGTTGGCTCACTCTTAATATAGGTCACATTCACACCCTTTGTTATGGCATACTTGCTTATGGCTTGCTTCAACTCTTCTCTATTGCTATAGGTCATATCTAACATGAAGAAAGGCCTGCCTTCATCTTTAGGCCTTTTA